CCTTGGGAAGAAGGTCGAGTTACTACCTACTCAGCCAAACCAGTAGGAACTCACCTCTGAACTCTTTGTTTTGCCATCCCTGTCCCAGCATTCTGCTGCCTATTGCTGGTTTTCATCTTCTTCTTTGGCTCCACTGTCAATAAAGCATATTTGGCCTGGCCTTTCTTCCTGTGATTATACACAGCCTTCTTCCCAAGGTTGCATGGGTCTTTCCTGCGGCCTCACAAGATTTTGGAATGGATTCCTGAGGCCTTGTGAAAATGCTGCTGGACATGTGAGGCCTTTTTCCCAAGATCTCATGTAGCCACATGTGGTCTTCTAAAACCTTGTGAGGCCTCAGGAAGGCTGGACATTTTCCAAGGCTTTGTTGGGAAAGAGGTTGTGTGTAGTTGAATCCCCAGCTGAAGGGGAGGAGGCTAAGCCAGAGAGAAAAAACAATCCAACTTAGACTTCATTCTGGGGAGGAAACATCTGAGACCAAACCTTTCAGTCTATATAAGCCATTTCCCAAGAGGAAGCAGACAATCTGGAAAAAATTCTTGTAATATTGGTAATCAACAGTAAAATATCTGCTTGGGCCTATCTATGAGTTGCTTGCTCCTGATGTGTGTGACCTCAGAAGGAAGGGCCAGGACAATATAGGGCAGGAGTAGCGGGAATGGTGCACCACATGGTGGAAGGGGCTGTGAAGTGAAGATGGCAGAAGCAGCTGGGTCTTCATGCATAGTGCTGGGTTGGAACAGGTTTTTGTCCTAGTGCTGGGCTGTGGTGGTGGTAGCTGCTGCTTCCTACTGTGGCACGGGTTAGCTGGCTACAACCCAGGGCTTGAGGTGGCATTTCTCTGGCTGGGTTAGGATTTAGGTTAGGATTCAGGTGAGCAGGATAGACATTGCCAATCATTTTATCATTTTCAGGATTTCAAAATATATTTATGGTGGTAGAAACATTTAGAATGTGTCTCCTTGAAGGATGGAGATTAGACAACTAAAATAACTTGAAAAGTGAAAATGCTATACATGCACTGACTTTTGCTTTAGCCAGCAGTCTTCATTGTTTTGCTTTGTTTTTGCTATACTTACAAATTAAATACTAATTATAGTTTAGGGAATAGCTTGAAGCTATTTTGTCTGTTCCAAATGATGCAATCAGTTATGATTATTTATTATTCATTTGAAAATCCAGACAAGAAATGGCTTATATAATTTGAATAGTTTTTAAATGTTAAGCTTTTTTTACTCTGAAGTTTGTTTAAAAAATATAAATAAAATTGCATCTTAAATATAAGAATTCCTGCAGTCCCTTTGAAACTTGATCTACGAAGTTCCAAAGCTTACCCCCCACCCAACTACAAATATCTGGAGGCAAATAACACTGAGGTCAGGTTTAAAAAACAATTATGCTGTGCAAGTAATAGAGACTAAGTTTAGAGAGGACTAATAGTCTGAGTTTTATATGACTTATGAGGTATCTAATTCGGAATCCCTAGAAGATTCATTCCAGCTGTTCCAAACATTAATAGTTAGAAACAAATTGTTGTTGAGAGATGAAAAAGAAAAGAAAAATAGACTATATTGGGTAAACTGATTCCCAAGAATTTTGTACAGAAGTGAAACAATAGAAAAGATCTGTTCTCTCTCATATTGTCTCTCTCTCTCTTCTAAAAAGTTAGACCAAACACAGAGTTAAAAAAATTATTAATAAATGAAAAAAAATCTAATGTCAAAGGCTTATAATATATGCTTAAGACTGATCCCGCGAACAGTTGTAGCCCATTGAGAGATTAGTTTGAAACAGTTATACAAAGCTTTATATATTAATGACAGAAAATTACAGACTATTTTCTTCAAAAATATTTGCTTTTTATTAAATTTCTCTGAATAAAATTAAAGTCTTTCCTAAGTCAGCACCAACATTTATGTGACTGAAAGACAAGTTGAAAATGAATTTAATTAATGAATCTTTCTTCCGTTGTTTTTCTCTGCTTTGCTTTAATTGGTTCAAAAAAGATAAAATTAGTTGGAAGAAAGGATATTAATTTTATGTGGCACAAAATATATAGGAAAACAAAAGCAGTGATCCAGACAGATTAGAATGAAACAGCAATGGGCAACCACAGATAGTAACCACATTTGATAGTAACAAAAGTGTAATCCATAGAGATTAACCATAAATATTAAACATAATGGAAGTCAAAATTTTGAAAATTATATTTCATTTATCACTGTAATGCTATGTTTAATGCTATGTTTGTAAAGAAAAGTTAAAATGGCATTTAAGTTGAAGTTTGCCCGAACCAGTACCAACCAGCTGAATCCCACCTCTGGAAAAAAAACCATATTTTGCAAGTAATGACTAACTTTGGAATAACTATAACTAAAGAATTTTGATTCAATGCATGCTATCTAAGTTTAAATCTTAGGGATCAGACTCAATAGAGCTGACAAGGATGNAAATACTTCTGTTTGCAATAATGTCACCTAATTTAAAATATTTCCTTCCCTTCCTAGACATGGAACCCGTTGTGCTGGAGAAGTGGCAGCTACAGCAAATAACTCACATTGTATAGTAGGAATTGCATTTAATGCCAGAATTGGAGGTAAGTGTAATTATTATTTAAAAAATAATACTTAAAAATTAATAAAGCAGTATATAAGTCAAAGGAAGTCACTTTGTTCAGTAAGCAAGGCAGTTATCCCTGGTAAATGTATGTACAGTTATAGTGTTAAATTTATTCTTTTTATGTGTTATTTTTGCATTTAACTATAACTTAAAGATGCTTAAGCATGACTGATAAGCCTTATTTTTATGATGGCATACATTCTTTGAGAAAAAAAAATACCTTCACTATTACTTTACTGCAGTAATAATGAAGCAATTACTATAGCTAGTAAAATTACTATCTACGCTATGTTACTTTTATCTCCCTTCTACAACTTTTAGTACTGTGTAAATCTTTGAGGGGATGAATGGCTTCAACAAAAGTTCATAAGAAAGTTCATTAAATAATATGGTCTCTTCCAATAATAAAGTGATTCACTCTACTTTGAGGACTTCTCTGCAGTTTTCTCTGGCATTTAAAATAGCTGATATCTTCTCTGCATGTATAAAAGCCTCTTCTAATTTTCATGTGCTAAAAGGAATCCTCCTCCCCCTCAAAATAACTGTTTGATTTACTAAAAGTTCAGACCAAATGGTGCTTGTTGACCTGAAGCAAATTGAGTTCATTCTTTTCCTAAACAATATAAAATGCATTGCCTTTGCAAAACGAAGTGTCACTTCAAGGCAAATCTCACCTACCTCACACAGTCTTAATAACATTTCACAGCAATAAGCTTTATTGTAGTCTGTATTAAATTTTACATACCTATGGAAGGAAGCTGTCAAAAGTTGATATCATTTTACATGTGCAACAAATGTAAGAATGAACATTTGCATCAGAACATATACATTTTGGAACTTAATATAGCGATTAAGGCATAATAGTAGAAACTGGGAGACATTGACTGGAAGTTGAGTCATCACAACTAGACTTCTCTGCTCTGCTCTGCCCTGCCCTGCCCTGCCCTGCCCTGCCCTGCCCTGCCCTGCCCTGCCCTGCCCTGCCCTGCCCTACCCTTTCCTTCGCTTTCTTTTTATGAGTTGAGTTTTTGACTTTCCATGACTCAACTTCCAGACACTTCTATCCAGATGACAAACTTCATCGACATGGGAAATGGTGAGTTCTAGTCCTGTCTTAGGCACAAAGCCAGCTGGGTGACCTTGGGCTAGTCACTTTCTCTCAGTCTTAGGAAGGAGGCAATGGACAGTTACTTAGACAATCTTGCCAAGAAAATTGCAGGGACTTTTCCAGGCAACCTTTGATAATCATATACAACTGAACAGAAGGGGTGAGTGGGGAGGTATATAAAATGTGAATTTTTATCTTAGTACCAATATATATACTGA